GGCTTTGTAAACCATACTTTAAGGGGGGGGGAGGAAGAGCCGCACACAACTCTTGAACCGCGGATTGGCCACCGCTGGTCTAGATATTGTACCTTCTCGGGATTGCAGTTTAACTACACTTTTACCGCCCCCCTGTGGTCACTCCGGAGTATAACTCTCCCTGCTACCACACCCCTCCTTTCCGTTCGATATGAAACCATCCCGTCTCACACGCAGCGCACCGTCCCGGCACAACCAAACCCAGACCTGCCCCTGTGATAAGAGGACGCTGCCTACCAAACACAATGGTCCTCGCTCTTATCGATCAGGAGTTCTTGAACAAACATAGGGTACTTCTACACTTGCACCCTAGTTCGAACTAGGGAGGCAAATGTACGTGACGAACTTGCTAATGAAGCGGGGATTTAAATATCCTGCGCTTCATTAGTATGATCTCGCCGGCGCGTTACTCCGCTCAACAGCTGTTCCGGAAATGAAAGTGGGACGCGTTAGTTCGAACCAAAGCCCTTGTTTCGAGCTAATGTCATTCCTCAAAAAACGTTACTCCTTTAAAACACGCCAGCGAGATCATGCTAATGAAGCACGGGCTATTTAAATCCCCGCTTCATTAGCAATTTTGGTCGCCTACGTTTGCATCCCTAGTTCGAACTGGGATGTAGTGCAGACATACCCATACTCACAGATTGATGGACAGACATACAAACTCGCTCAAATATATAGATTCTATCAGAATCAGGGCTCCATCATGGCGTGAAAACACTCAAGAAATCTCACAGCCTGTGGGTGGTTTTCATAGTTCCCCCTTTTGGATACGCCATCCTGCTTCTATTTTGAACTGCGCCACGCAGACTGCTAGCACTGGAATGCCAACGAACAATGGCAAATCGCTACATCTCCGATGCGCTTTGCAAAATGTTTATCGCCGGCCTTGGCTGTCCACCAGCTGGGGCGATCAAAGCCGCTAATCATTTATTTCCGTGTCAAAGGCAGGACTGCTGAAGCCGGCTCAAGCAGAGATGTTGCTGGTGATAACGAAGGACATGAAAGGCCAAATGCATATTCGGAGCCCTCATTCGAAGATTTATCCATTAGTGTTCCCAAAACATGCAAGTCATTCAAAAGCTTTCTGCTCACCTAGGGTGCGTCTAGAGTACATCCCGCTTTCGAAAGAAGAATGTAAAGGAAGGAAATTGAAAATGCAAATGACGCGCCAATTGACAAGCCTCACGCTTCATCTACATAATTGCCTCCGATTGCTTTTTCGAAAAAGGTTGGGTTTTTTTTTTAAAGCAGTCTAGATGAGGTTCTTTCGAAAACAAACACCCCTTTTCGAAAGAACCCTGATTCCTGAAAAAAATGAGGTGTACAGGGTTCTTTCGGAAAAGGGGTTGTTTTGAAAGAACCGCGTCTAGACTTTTTTTTCTTAAAAAAAACCTTTTTCGAAAAAGCGATCGGATGCGATGAAGCAAATGAAGCACGAGACTTGTAAATCCGGCGCGTCGTTTCCATTTTCCATTTCTTTCCTTTACATTCCTCTTTCGAAAGAAAGATGTAGTTTAGACGCACCCCTATCGTACACAAAGCAACTGCTAGCAGTTTTTATGGGTTAGAGGGGATAAATGATCTAATTAGCCTTTAATTAACTTAATTAATTTACCTAATTAAGCTATAAAATAGAGGGTGACCCTATATTTGATTTTGTTACATTGGAATCTAGTCAGAGCTAAGGATGTTAAAGTCCGTTTAATCAACTAATCGATGGAATTTCCATCGACTACTCGATTAATCGATAAGGGGAGACCTGCAGAGCCACAGTGGGGTTAGCTCCGGGCCTTGCCTTTTAAAGTCCTGCCTGGCTCTTACTACATTTAAAAGGCAGAGATGCAGCAAGGGACCGGGTGTGTCCCGACTCACTCCTTGTCTCAGATGCTGCGTCTTTACCTCTCCTGCCCCTCCACGAAGACCTCTCCTGCCCCTCTCCTGCCCCTCCCCCTCAAGAAAGAGCCCAGTCCGTCTGTCTGTCTGTCTGCTTGGCCGCCGGAACACATGCAGCTCGGGCTGGCTGGGGCAGATTTCACAATGGCCACCTTAAAAGAGCAATGCCTGTTCTGTTCTTAAAAGGGCAGGGCAATCTTTTTTTCTTTTTCAACAAGTTTTGCTGCAAGTTTTGTTTTTCACCCCCCGCCCTCAGCTCAGTTCCTTTTTTTTTTTCTCAACAAGTTTTACTGCTATTTTGGGGAGGGGGGGGAAGGGGCGTGATGCCAAAAAGTTTGGGAACCACTGGACTACAGGGAAAACCCTGGTCCCTCGACCTGAACCCAGAGTAGTGGGCGGGCCCAGATCCCCCCCAACCCTTCCTGCTTCCATGGCAGATTAACGAGGGCGTTACAATGCAGACCTCTGAAAAGTGGCGCCATCTACGAACACAGCTGCCTACCCGGAACAGATGCAGGTGGCCAGGGGGTAGATCCAAGAACATTCAAACTGAAACGTGGATGTTCCATCTCTGGCTACAAACACGTTGGTGTCTCCGGAGACACTCTAAATCGATGTTTCTCAACCAGTGGTACAAGGATCCTGAGAGGTACTCGAGAGAAGTCTGGGAGGGGAACATCAACACTACTGAAATTCGGAGAAAACCGAATTTGCGTTTTAAGTTTTACAGCACTTTCTTTTCTGTAGACTTTTTACGCTGCTCAAATTTGGAGAAAACTGAATTTGCGTTTTAAGTTTTACAGCGCTCTCTTTTCTGTAGACTTTTTACGCTGCTCAAATTTGGAGAAAACTGAATTTGCGTTTTAAGTTTTACAGCGCTCTCTTTTCCGTAGACTTTTTACGCTGCTCAAATTTGGAGAAAACTGAATCGTTGTTTTCAATTTCACAGTGTTTTACTATGGGTGTCCTTTTTTGACATCCAAAAATTTCATCGCCTGCCCGGCGACGATTAAATGTTGCAACGGTAGAAAAAAAATTAAGAACATAAGAACGGCCGTACTGGGTCAGACCAAAGGTCCTTCTAGCCCATTATCCTGTCTGCCGACAGTGGCCAGCACCAGGTGCCCCAGAGAGGGTGGACCGAAGACAATGATCAAGCGATTTGTCTCCTGCCATCCCTCTCCAGCCTCTGACAAACAGAGGCCAGGGACACCACTGTATCCCCTGGCTAATAGCCTTTTATGGACCTAACCTCCAGGAAATTATCTAGCTTCTCTTTAAACTCTAATAATAGTCCTAGCCTTCACAGCCTCCTCCGGCGAGGAGTTCCACAGGTTGACTACGCGCTGTGTGAAGAACTTTCTTTTATTAGTTTTAAACCTGCTACCCATTAATTCCAATTGGTGTCCTCTAGTTCTTCTATTTAGGGAACTAATAAATAACTTTTCTTTATCGGCCCTCTCCACACCACTCACGGTTTTATATACCTCTATCATATCCCCCCTCAGTCTCCTCTTTTCTAAACTGAAAAGTCCCAGTCGCTTTAACCTCTCCTCATATGGGACCCGTTCCAAACCCCGAATCATTTTAGTTGCCCTTTTCTGAACCCTTTCCCAGGCCAAAATATCTTTCTTGAGGTGAGGAGACCACATCTGTACCTGTCTGAAATTGTGTGTCTGAAATTTTTTTGAGGGATCGCTCAGTGGTTTGAGCATGGGCCTGCTCAACCCAGGGTTGTGAGTTCAATCCTCGCGGAAGCCATTTAGGGATTTGGGGCAAATATTTGTCAGGGATGGTACTTGGTCCTGCTGTGAAGGCAGGGGGCTGGACTCGATGACCTTTCAAGGTCCCTTCCAGTTCTAGGAGATAGGCAATCTCCAGTCATTTAAATTTTATTTATAAAACTGGAGGCATCGGGGATACTTATCATTTTTTTTTGAAGGGGGTACTTTATAAAAAAAAAAAAGTTGAGAAACGCTGCTCTAGAGGGTGTGTCTTTGGCTAGCAACTCCCCATCTCTGGACGCCGGGATGCAGCAGCGCGCAGAAAGTGGATTTTATCGGGAGCACTTTGCTCTGATTTACCAATACGCGGCAAGCCATTAGTGGGCCAACTTTTAGAGGGCTCCAACTACCTACATGTGGCCTGCCTTGATTTCCCCCCGATCCGTCCTCGGGGCCTGTCCCAACCCACTGTGTAGCTGTGGCGTGCTGCGCTTTCCCCAGCCGCCGCCACCGTCCGCTCCAGGGGTGGGT